TAACAAATCGGTTGCTTAGGGCTCTACACGGCATGAATGTCACTTTATTTTTAATTTCGATTGTTAGTTTATCTAAGTTTATTTTAGTTTTAGAATGTGATGTTTTGTTTTATTTTTTATTTGAATGTTTATGTAGTCGCCTAGTTGGCTCATGTAACTCGCTTTTAATGTACTAGGGGAAAATAATGTGCAAGAACATTCAGCAATATCACATTGTACAGACTACTTAGGTTCCTTTAAGTATCTATTATATAATTTTGAAATTTATACTTAATATGAAGGTGAATAAAACTGCCACCATTGTACTGATTTTGTTTTCATTTTTCCGCTTTTTCTTTAGTTTAGTGAAACGTTGGCTGATTGGGGAATGAGAACTGTGTGTTCAGTCAGTCATTGTAAAAACAATACAAGTCTTTATAGCACTACAAATTTCATTGCAGGAACAATTTGTAATGTGCATTTGTTTTTATATACTGTTTTCAATCCATTTAAGTAACAAACAACAATATGACATTTGAATCCTTAATAACAGTTTAAAGGTCTGAAAATGAACACGACAGTTCTCACAATGACAATGGGAGGTTTTAAGCTTTGGAAAGCAAAGAGTCTATGGGGTTTTAAATTAAATACTATAATTTTTTGTACAGTATTATTTATTGGCATACAAAATAGTTTGATTATATCATACAAAGTTCCTCATATGAAGATAATCATATTTCTTACACCTTTGTGGATGATATTGAAAAAAAGAGTCAAGTAAAATTACGCACACCCCAGCATATGTAGAAGGAGAATAGTGCACTTAAGTACAGTATTTGCATTTTCTGCTGTTTTGCTTTAGGTGTTGTCATTGTAGAGCTTTCACTGTAGATTGCGCTATTGGCACTCGCTAAACTATATCAGTGTTTTGCATCCCAAAATTTCAGTGTGAGCATATTTAGGAAAATTCAACGAGCTTTTGAGTATTCATACAAACACTTAGGATTTGAATTACATTTAAGATTAAATTAATTGAGTATTTTAATTAGAGAAAAGTTAGAAGATGTCTGTAGTTTTGATTTTTGGTCCAGATTTAAAAAAAATATATATCAAGGATCTTGAAAGTTAGTTGGCGTTAATATATTTCTATTGCAGTGGAAGTATGGAAAGGAAAAATAATTCAACTTATAAATTTATTCTTTTACAATTGTCAGAATATTCTAAAGAATAATACAGATGTATTCTGTTTTAAGGAAGGTATCAAAATATTAAATGTTTGAAAAGGTACTACCAAACTGTTATTTCTGCTGAGGAAAATAAATTTAGGTTCAGTTATCAATTCAAATCTATGTTTAAAATTGCAAGTATCTAGGTTATTTGTACATGACATCTAGTCTTCACTGAGAATTTTTTTTAAACAAGATGCCAATTTTTTATCTTTCTTTAAATAATATACTGTAGTGTTAAAAAACTGAAAGCTATGGTGATTATTTAAAGTTACTATGTGAATGTAAACATTTTAAGAGATAATCAACCTTAAAAAATATATGACAAATAGATAACATGAAAATATTTAAATAAACTTGTCAAATTTATGCTGATTATACTTTTACAATAATTGGAATTATATAATTTTTGTTTTTACATAAATAAAAGATAGTTGTTTGGCAAATAATTTTGTTCCTGTCTACATATACATTTTAAATGTTATAAATCTAAAAACAGCTTATGATTTTGAAATCTGCGTGATCTCAAGACCTAAGGTAAGCCATGATTTTCCACACTCTTACCAGAGAGATATTATTTTGGCTATTCAACTGTCTTGAAACATTTGAGGTTAATTTCTTTCCATTCTGTTTCTTATCCTAAAGAAACAAGTGCAAATCATCATACTCATTGAAATTGTTATATTTGGTAGTCAATGATAGTTAAAACAATTTTGTCACAAGTGTTTTTAAAGTTTTTGTTGTGGCACATACCATATAAAAGGTTATAAGAATGATCGTCAAGATATACTTCGTACTTATGAGTACGTAATTGCAAAACATTTTTGTAAATTACCTGTATTTGCATCGGCTAGTAATAACATAGATCTAACCTATATGTTTTAATGAATTTCGCTTCCTTAATCGAATCGTAGGCTCTCACTTGTTTTTGGCTTACGCTTCTATTTGCAAAAATAATCCAAAATTGTAACCATATAAAAACGTTTTAATATGAATATTTTATAATTTTTGTTTTAATTCCGCCGATACAGATGAGTTGGTTCATGAGAAGGAGAAGTACAAATACATCTGCGACGATCTGGACCAAACCTTCTCCGAATTGGTCGGTTGAGAGCTTCGCCTCTTTTGTCACTCGCTTGATTGTTGAGCGGTGCAGATTCATCTTATCAATTCCAAAACATCTAGGATAATTTATGTAACAGATCTTTTAAAAAACAATTTAAACAACTACCCACAAACTATATTTTTATCATTGTGTAACTGAATATAAATATATATTGTATTGTTTTTATTGTGTTTTCATTTTTCCGTTGTTTTATTTTTATTTAATTTTTATTATTTGCCGACTTTAAATAGGAATTTACTTTGATTTTCAGCATAAATTGTCTGCCACTTAGAAGACTAACATGCCTTCATAAAGTTAGGCTATATTGTAAATGATTATAAAATTCTCTGGTACTCAACAGATGGTTCTAGGTATTTTTTCTATCGAACCTGTTAGCAAACTCATATGTCTTACTGCAAAGGTAACCTCATTGAATTGTCTTAAATCCTTTGCCAACAAGACATTCGAACATTTGGTAAAATAATAAATTTGGAATTATATCAACACTGGCAATGCTGAAGTTTGCTAATAAACATAGAAACGTATAGAATATACATTAGCATTACTACTATTTTGAATTCTTTATGTATTATATTAACAATACATCTATGCTGGAGAAGGCGGTTTGAGGGGAAGTGATTCTATCTCCTCCAATTCTACTATGAAACAAGTGACGACATCTGATTGGAGGAACCCAGGATCCTTTTCCTTAAACCATCTAAATTTTGTGAATGGACTACTGGATAACACCATAAACTAAACCAAATAAAATAAACTGTAAAAATAACTAATAGGTTTCAGAATTTTATTATATGGAAGTTTTTGTTAAAGAGAACCACATGTAATTTTTATGTGGTGTTCTTTTTATAGTAGAATTTTTGAATAAACAGTAGACATTTGTGAAAATTTTTCAAATATATTTTACCTACGACCGTTTTTTAAAGTAGCCTAGCCATTTCAGTCCAGTTCTTAGAATTGAAAAGTTTCACTTTACAGCTGTTTACTTTCATATCCGCATAGTTTCATTTCATATCCGCATAGTTTTTTCATATCCACACAGGTAACGGACCAATGAGGTTCAAGTATTGAGAGAAAAGAATTAAAATTGTAATGCTTCGAACGTCAACTAATCAGCTGATCAGCTGATCAGTTGACCAATTTAATTGTTGATCCGACTTGTTCATGTTGATACTCGCGTATTCTTAATTAAGTTGGTGGAAGTCCAAAAATAAATGAAATATTTGCCGAATTGTACCTGATACAATATTATTTATGGTAAGAATGCTGCTAGCAATGTAATATTTAACGAAGTTTAACAAACACGTAATTACTGGAAATCAGCTGATTATACAACAAGTCGTTGCATCACTTTTAGTGGCAATGACAGTACACGAAAACATAACCTCTCTAAAAAGTTATCATTAGTGATTGTTAGTAATTAAATCCAGATTGATAGTAGTTAAAAAACGGTCGTAGGTAAAGTAGTGTACGCAACGCGTTAATAGTCTTTACGACACTCGTAGAAGTTTTTAAGGCACTCGCCTTCTACTCGTGTCGTAAAGACTCACTTAACGCAATCGTTGCGTAAACTACTATTTCAACACTTTGCATGCTTCTGTAATATTTGCGACACTTCACATATTTGCATGAAAGTCACATTGAAAATAGCACAGTTTGTTTATTTTATTGTAGAAAGTGTTTTCAAGTCTAAATATTTTTTTTTATAAATTAGGTTGTAAAGAAGATGAGTTTAATTGTATTAGCAAAGAAAGAGTAAGTACCGGTCATATACAGATTTTCATTTTCAATCCTCCAGACTTTTTTACTTGTACATTTTAATTTACATTTAGCCATAGCTTCCTATCAAAACATTATTAAGTCTCCTAAAAAGTGGGTTGCTGGAACTAGACTGGGCCTTGGCCTGTTTATTTCTTTCATAGAATTGTCTGACTATTATTACGAGCTGTGTAAAATGTGTACACCAGGCCTATGGTAAAGTGCCAGGCCAGGTGATGCACAATTGGCCCAGGAATTACTTACCCCCTCTCTCCCTTCTTTGCAAATGAATTTTTCACTTGTGCCCACAACAAACCTAAAACATGAATCCTGAGCCCAGGCCCATTTACTAAAGCAACCCCGGTGTATAAATAGCATGATATTATTATTTTATGCAAAGAGTTTAATTTACAATCCTCCTAGTTTATAGGGTAGAAGTATAGTAGCAATGCCTTAGTCACAGACTGAAAAAGGTGCATTACAGAATCTCACATGTATCAAAAGATAAGTTGCTGCTTGGGCAGAAAGAAAAAACAACGCTATCAATGGTAAAAAACCACACTGCAGCTGAAGTTTTGAGAAGGCAGATTTCTGTTTCAAGAAAATCTAGGTCTTAAATAAGTGAAAAGAACTAAATTCGTCAACTCCATTATAAGTAGGCCAATGCCTAACAATTACGCCTCTTTCACACTATACGGTTTCCGCCGTCTGGTTGAAAATAGTACGATTTTCCGCTGTTTCTTTTACATTTCACGGTTTCTGACCATATGGCAAGATGAATGTGTATGCAACGTCACAATAAAAACTAACAGGTCAGATTGTAAACGATAAATTTTGCAACAGCTGATCTATTTGCACTGGCTGGAGGGCTCCTGTTCGATTAAAAACCGTGCAGTATGAAAGCATGCATTTAATTACATGCGCCACTGACGCACGGCCACGGCGCAACAACCATCCGGTTCAGTGGCAGTAGACGGCTGCAAGACTGCACAGGTTCTGCCGTTGCTGTAACCGTATGGTGTGAAAGTCCTCATGCTCTTCTTTACACTACTGTAAAGAATGAAAACTATATAGTGTGAAAGGAGTGTTAAAAGTCCTTAATTTTTTTTATTACATTGTGCAATCTAATTTTTGATTGATTACAACATTAGGCTGGTATTACACAATCATAGTTCTACGTCATATAACTATAACAATACAAAATACTTAACATACCATACAAGTTTAAAAAATACAAGTTTTGAGCTGTTTAAAGAGTTTCTCAATCTGTTCATTTGCTCAACACTTACAGACATCAATAATGTTTTCACAGCTGGTTAGTTTATGCAAGAACATTGCACCTTTAGAACGTAAGAAACGTGAAGTAAAAAAAAAAACATGAAAAACAAAAAAACTGAAGTGAGAAACAGTTTGTGTTTCAGTTTAGCACTAAATTAACAGAATAGTGCATAGCGTTGAAAAACAAATATTTGATGGAATAGATTGAAGAAACCTGTTTTACAGGCCTATTTTGACGTACCATACTCCTGATGAGTTTGGTTGAAGCTATATTCTTAACCCAAAGGTGTATTGAAGTAGCAATTTGTGCCAAATCCACAAATTCTTCACCACTCAGGATTGGTGAACTACAGGTGATAAAGCAAGATTATGCTGCAAAAAATAGCCCTAATATGCTTATTTCCCATTGCACTATTGTGCTCCAGAAAGTTCCATGTGGAAATGCTGCTGAGAGTTGTGATTTACTGAAATTAATTACTAGTGATTTAATTAAATTGTTTTTCATTCCCTATGCACTGGAACACCACTTCCAGTAATAGTTTGGACTTCAATGAACTAGTTAAAGATGTAACACAATGCATAAGGGCCTAGGTTTTTAGGATTTTTTGAGGGATATAAAAGTTAGTTCTGGAGAGTTTTAACATGCCTTGAACTAGTTACTTAGATACACCAAATCACCTGATACTAGATATTACCTTGGTGTTTGTCACGAATACTTGATGAACAGAACCGTTATGGATCATAAACAAACAAATAACATTGCTGGCCCGAAATCTATACTAATAGCATTAACACATGATTTGGAAAATTCAATTCAAGCAATGTTAAATAATTAATGTTTATTTTTGGGCCAGCAACGTCAAATGTTTATGTTCATGATCCATAGCGGTTCTGTTCAAGTATTCATGGTGTGTGTGTTTTATTTTAATATTCTCGTCTTGTATTTTACAGATGACCTTGTCACACAAAAGGAACGTTACAAACAAATATCGGATGAAATGGTGGAGACATTCGCTGATCTTGCCAGTTATTAATTTTTCAGTCATTCACGCCTTTCCTGTGATCGCATTGTGGTTTGAAAACAATGTTTATTTGTTCATTTATTTGTTCAGAAATGTGATTGTGATACACATTCTATACAAAGAATTTTTTTTTAAATACTTTAGTGATAAAGTTTTAATAGTTGTTTGAGTTTCACACATTAAAAGCTATTAGCAATATTGCCGAGTTAAAACTTTTAATTGGAAACAAGGGGTTCGATACTGACCAAGTTTTTTTTATAAATAAGCTTTTATATTTTTTTTTTTTTTAACTTTAAGATACGAACATCAAGTAATTCATAATCAAGGAAACATTTGAAGTACAGCAAAAGAATACAGTTTATACATTTCTTAATGTACGTCAATTTTATCATCAACACACCAAATCAAAATACTTCACTGTTTGCGATAGAATAGCTACATGCATTTTTAAGGTCTCATATTCAATCTATTTAAAAATTTAAGTTTCTATAGAACTTCCAACATGTTTCTCACTAGTTGAAACCTAAAACAAATAGTATTCTACCCAAAAATTTTAATAGTCTTCATCAACTTTTTAAAGAGCGTTTTTTCATCAACAAAATACATAAACGTTTTGTAGGACAATAATATTGTCATGGTGATGCTAGCAGCTCTTCCGTCAGATCTATCACGGATCAGATCCAACTCATAATTGGAAACTGTTTATAATCAAAAATATGGGGGTCGATTTTAAAGTAAGAGCCATTTTTGTGCGTACATAGCTTCTTAGTTCTCGTGCACGCTGCAATGAGGCTCCTTGCCGCTTGCTGGCATCATTTGTGAACAGAACGGCAACATTTGCAGCTCTGTAGCTGACGTGTACATTTTGCTGTGTTTGTAGAAAATAAAAAAAAATCAATTCCCATCATATGCTAGATAAGGTTAATTATATTTTTTTTTCACTGCAAGAAACATATTGGCTGCAAACATTCATTGCCAGATGACTGAAAGTTTATGGTACTAATGATACAGTAGGGTGTAGGAGGGTGCTGGCTAGGAGGGTATAGGAGGGTGTCAGTAGGGTGCTGAAAGGGCCAGGGAGTTAAAACGGATGTGAAAATTTCCATTTTGGAAGGAAGTGTATTTTTGGTGGATATCCAGACTATTCACAGAAGACCACACGGGAAAAAGGTTTTCACAGCCATGTTTACCTTTTCTAACCCATTTCTGTATTTTACTCTCACTCATTGCAAGAGCCACTTCAGTCATCTGGCAATGAATGTCAGTATCTGATGTGTTTTTGTGGTCAAAGTGAATCACTTACCTTATCTCACGTGTGGCGGAAGATTCCATAAATTACAAAATTTTCTAAACAAACAGCAATGCAAACATGTCAGTTACAGAGCTGCAAATGGATATAATGGAGATATATGCAAATGGTAAGTGGTGAGAAGCATGGTTGCAGCTTACACGTGAACTAAGAAGCTATACGCAAAAACAGCCCTTTTACGAACCATAATTCACATTTTTTTGTATCCTGTACATTTGTTTATTCTAATTTATACTCAAATGATTTTAGGTACCATATTTTTTTAATTTATTATAATTAATATACTAGTATGAAATTATTATTCTAAGATTTTTGCTTTGCTCAGAGTGTACAAGTTTTAAGTTTTTTCCCTCTTAGTTACTGTTATTTAATCAAATAAATGCATTTTCTTGTGATAATTTTTCATTGTTTCATCATTGGTAATTAAATCATCACTGCCTTTAAAAACATAAGAATAGCATTTTAAAACGTTATGTTAAATTTGGTAGTTGCTTAGTATAAAGAAATGCTTAAAGTATATATTAAATAAATATAAAAAAGCTTCTTATAATGCTGTGCTTTTCTTCCCATAATATCATCAGTCCTTGGTTCCCATTTCAATAGGATGATACTTGATGGATCAATTTGATCCCTGATGTATATGACTGATTAGTAAAAGTCATTAAAATTGCACAAAAATCTGGAATCCCATCATCTCTTCAAGTGGAAGAAACCAATCATGTGACAATATTAGTAACAAGCAAGGCAAATCCGGGATTCCAACAGATGAAAACAATAAAGGACTAAAACAGTCAAATGAAAAATAACAAAATAAGAAAAAAAATTTTTATATCCCTGCCTCAGCAAATCTTTACGTTAAGCACATTTTAATTTGCCTGGTCGTTTTTTTTCTAATTCTGGTTTGTAAACAAGTCAGATTTATTCCCTATTAAAATAACATACTTTTTTAAAGCGCTTACCAATGAATACAAAACCAATGTATTCATTGTACTTACTTTTGCTGCTACAGGGAAGGCAGTAAAATGTTTCTGGTGAAAATTTGGTAAACACCTTGTGTAGTAATACTGTATCAAGAAATAAGTCAACGAAAAATTCCTTGTAATTTATTTCATACATTTTCATTTGTAGAAATTACGTCTCAGATTTCACCAAATTCCCATCTCCGTACACAGTTCCAGATTGAATGTGGATTGCCACAACACCGTCTTCAGGACTTGCGCTCTCTGGTATAACTATGTTTGCTTTTCCGTCTTTTTCAACTTTTATTGTTTTGCCAGAACACCCTGTAGTTGTAACTTCTCCAGATATTATATCACAATATTCTCCCTCTGGCAGGCATGTCTGAAACATTATCAATATAGGTGGTTAAGATAAACGCATATACTCTGTAATGCATTGCATGATTCAATTCAATCAAACATTAGACACAATAATTAATTGATGATAGTCTTACAGATTTTCTTAGAGAATTAACGGATCTGCATACACTACTCTGGCAAGACTGAACTTGAGTGGCTTAACTCGGGTTTAGCTCTGTGAATGGATCGATTTACTTTTTCGTTTTGATATCCCTAGGGGCCAAGAACACTATCCGTTCATATAAATATGTCTGTGTGTGTGTGTGTCCATTAGCATGAAAACCCAAATAAAATTCATCTAATTTTGCGGATCAAAAATAAAAAAATCTTAATGGCGACTCCAAACTTTTACATGCTTTTCTCCACCATAGATTCACCATTTTCAGCCAATCAGAGCGTGATTAAAATATTTCCTCTGTGTCAACATTGTGTAAATTTGTATGTACTTAAGTTTGCCCAGATGACAAACTCTGCAGTTTTCAAGAGTACCCAGGCGGTGATAGAACGCATCATGGATTTTTAAGTTGTTGACACAGTTATTTGTTAAAGATTAATTCAGTTTGGCTTCAGAGCTGATCATGGCAAGTTCGAGGTTCGAGAGGCGAATGTGTTCGAGGTAGTTTTGTGATTTCTTGTGTGCACTAGCATTTGTTTTTTATTTACTCTTTAATATACAATATAGCAATCTAAATTTCAGTTTAAAACATATGAAAAACAACCTTAATACAGTCATTGGAGATAAGTAATTATCGGGATAATATTTTCCCTGTGTTAATACCTGGAGATTCTCGTTTAGTTTTGTGGAATCCAAGTTGAAAGCCACAAATCCTTTTTTCCCTCGACAAAAAGCAATTTGATTTTTATCATTGCTCCACCAATTCGTCACTGGCGTACCTAGGAAAACGTTAAAATTATGAAGAAAATGAGAATATATTACACAGTGAAATAAAAAGGTGTTCAGATTTTTGTTGTCAGAGTGTACCAAAGCAGAAAATACTTGTAAGGGGTGTTCTAAACCCCTGTGTTGCAGAATTATCTTGTAGAAAGTTCATTTTACAGGATCCAAAGCCAGGTTTAGACGAGGGTATTAGGTAGACAGGTAACCTGCCTCAGTTAGTGAATTTCAAGTTACCTGAAGCAACCTACCTGCCTACTGCCTCAAGTAAACGTGGCCTAAACCCTGGCCTTAGAAGGAAGACCCATGCTCAAATTGATATGCCAGTCACGCCATAATTCATACAAATAAATTCCATTCATTGTAAAAGTACTTTTAATCATTATGATACTTTATTGAGTAATAGTTGCTTTAGTGCTGACCTTAGAAGATATTGCCATAACTATGCAGGGTGAACCTCTTAACTGTGCCACCCCTTTTGGTATCTCAGAAACTATTAGGTTTAGAGAAAACATTAAATTGAAAACTTAAATAGTTTCAAAAGACATTAAAAAATATGAGTTCCACTTTCTCTCAAATGGCGGCTGACGTAAAATTTTCTTAAAGAACATCTTGTCTTTTATGACTGTTTTGGAATGTATATTACATTTCAAAACTTGTTATTCCTCACATTTTTTGCTAAGGCTACTCTAAACAGCTACAGTGTGTTACATCGTAGAAAATGTGGAGTGTTGTGTACATTCTGCATGCTATAGCTCCTAAACAAGTAAATTTGGAGAGGTAAATTTGGAGTACATAGGTCTTAAAATTGCATTTAAATTCTAAAAATATCAGAATTACAGTACCTCAGAATGCATACATGCACAGACACTCCTAAAACCACTTTATGGGTTCAGGAGGACAGTACAGAAGGATATTTCTACCCAAAACTCAAACTCAACAATTTTGACAAAAACAATACTTTCTCCATATACCGCATACACTATGTGCAAGGGGAGAAAGTAAAAACATTTCCTATATGACAACTTTCACATCCAGTTCCTTCTTTTATTTCCCTCTACCTTTGACAACGTTGTGGAATTCCACCGCGTTGTATATCTGGCGCCACCGATGTTGACACTCCCAACCGTTGGAACAAACGTTTTCCTTGATAGGATGAGGAGAGAAGACGGGAGGGTTTTGATGATGTGCGGAGAACTGGAAACTTGAAAATATCTTGCAATTGTAATCTCCACGAGCCAACATGAACATCACTGCCATCTGTGAATAGGAAAAAGAATACTCTTGAAGCTCCTGTTAAGCATACTAAGTTTCTTAAATAAAGTTGCAGGATATTTCAATTGCTTGGGTTACGATGGTGTTTCAGTGACTAAACACTTAACGTTTTGTAAAATCGAGTTTCACTGGCCTTAAAATGATAAATGAATTAGATAGACATAACAGAATGTGTATATTCTTTGGTATCTGAAAAGTATAAGCTCATTGAGCATTGCATGGCTATTGTTCCTTAAACAAAGAAACTCAAAGTATATTAACCTACTAGTCCAAGGTATTAACCAGTTTCCCATTTAGGTAATAAGCTATACTGTAGATCAAAACAACACTTTGAAAACCACATTTTTGGGTTCAGAGGGACCCAAAAGGGATATATCCACTCAAACTCAAAAATGTTTACGAAAACAATATACTTTCTCCATATACTGGGGAGAAGTAAAAAAAGGGCATAGGTAGTACATCAATGTATTAGTCTTGTGGAAAATATACCTTAGGTGGCAGTTTTTGATCAGTAGGAGAAGTGTCGGGGTGCATGAAAGCAGTGTGAAAGGCATGGACAAAAATAGTGAACATCACCACTTATTTCCAATCCTTAGGAAACACGAGTGCCGGTTTATGGATTACACGAGAAGGTCAGGACTGAAGTGGGTAAGGGATTGGATAGTAAGGAGACGCTTATGAAAGAACTAGCGATTGAGGACCCTCAATCGTACTACAATATTCAATAGTACCCAAATTCAATGATTTGCTTGAATGAGTTTCTCGGCTACCAGCCACTAGTGGCTTCAAAAATAGAACATGTTCTATTGTTCGCACTACTGAATTTTTACTCGCTGGCGAGTGCTAGTTGCCGCTACTTTGTAGGTTTACACGTTTATACCAAATTTCATCAAAATCGGATAATTTTTTATCAAGTTATCGTGCTAACGGACACTTACATATTTATATGAATTTGAAGGGATGGTGATTTAGCCTCTGGGGACCTCAAAACATAAATGTTAATCGGTCCCGGGTGCAGGTCTTACCATGAGACCTACGGTAATAGTTTATTCCCTACATGGGAAAATCGCTAAAACGAAAAAAAAAACAAGACATAAACTATTTCACCTAAATAAATAGCGGAATAAATAACAGCGCAGTAAATTCTAACCTTGTATGGTTTTGGATCCTGGTAGTTTAGAAAGGTGTCGCCATATAAACGTTCCGTGAAATAATCTTCAACAAACACAACTCTTTTTTGTTTTGCTTCTGAACCTGGTTTTAAATCAAACAACCAACAATAATGAAAACTGTTTAGAATAGCTTTGTGTGCTAATGAAACTATATATTTTTTTATTTAAAAAAATGTAAACCGGTAGCTGTTGAATATAACATGAAGTTTTACCATCGAGACAGAAAAAGAGTAGTCATTTTATTTATCAGTGAAAGTGAAGAAAGTCACAAGAGTTTTTTTTACTGTACAGTAGACTCCCTCTTATCCGGACTCCTTTTAACCGGACTACACTCGGAGGAAATGACATCTCTTTAACCGGACTTTTATCAGCACATTGGTTTAACCGGACTAGATCGACTGGAAGTGGGCGGTACTGAAACAACTGTTCTCGTGGGAAAGATATGAGACTAATGATCACGTGTCTACAATGCTCTCCTAAATTTATTTAAGTCGAATATCACAGTAAAAAATCCGTTTTATTTCACCAGTTTTTGAGAACGTCGGTTTAACCGGAAAACCTGTTATCCGAACTGGCCTCGGTCCCAAGGAGTCTGGATAAGAGGGAGTCTACTGTAGCTGCTAAAGTTTGATAGGAGTGAAAGATCACCTTTAAGAACAAAGGTTTACCTAAGAGAACCATTTCTCTCCAGATTGATTGAGCCCAAAAACACACAGCTCGGTCCAAGTAATAATAGAGATAACTATAACTTCTAACAGCTATTGGTAATTTTTGAGATTTTATCATCATTATCAATTGAGACATGGACGTCACCTAGGTGCGTATTTTAACCTTAATGTCAGTGAAGGATGAGTGTAGAATGACGTGAGATGATCTGTGTAGCTTTGTTACTGACCAAGATCAGCTGATTCTTCAGTCAGGATTATTTATTAAAAGCCTAATAATCGAGGACAGTTTGAAGAATGATCAGAGTAAATGATCGATAAACCAAATGATACCATCAATAAGCTACCGACTTTTCTCAGGATCAAACTGGCAACATTTTGATTGTTGATAAAGTACTTTAACTACTCAGCCAGTCTTATAACTATAAACAATATAAGTGTAAGTACTAACTTTTACTATGGAGACTAAACTAAACAAACCAAAGTTCTGAAGATCTTTGAGATCGTTTTTGCTTAGAAAAAACGCCCCCAACTGACTGCCAAACGTAAAGTCCAGGACTAATCCTAGTGGGGTGTACTCCTCATACTTTATTGGCCCCTCATCATCTGTGAACACATCATCATAATATCAGTTGATGTTGATTTTCACATCTGCTCTCGTTGAAGGTGGCATTCATCTATTACAGTGGTAAAATATAATATTTGAAATATCGTCTTTTAAATAACATTAGATTAAACAAGTACTAAAAGTTTGCTGCTACGTGGAAGGGAAATAGTTATTTGTGTAACTAGTGGGCGAAGTGGCACTTTGCTGCACACGAGAAAAATGGTTACGCTCTCTGTTTTAGCTGTAGGCGAGTGTGGAAAGTTTCTCAAGTGAGGCAAAGGCAGTTCGCACATACGTTCAGGGCCGTCCCTAGGGTTGGTGGCGCCTGGAGCAAACGTGGTCGTGGCGCCCCCTCCCCCCCAGCAGTAATAGTCGTATTCGCATATTTTAATACTTTGTTAATACAAATAGCTACGGCGAGGAGCCTCCTCAGCCACGGCGCCCGGGGCAGCTTGCCCCGGTTGACCCTCCTTCGGACGGCCCTGCGCGCGTTACACATTATATTTTTCCTACTGTTACAATAAAGCATATAAATACCTTAATTTGTTTCTTTCAAACACTATACAACACGTTTTTATGTTAGGTTAAATCCAAACATTGAAACGCTGTACCAGCTGATTGTAGTTTGCAGTATCTTTAAGTGTTGCCATCTTATTTTCAAGCGAACACGTGTTAGATGCCTAATAAAAGCTCAATTATTTTCCTAAACTGACAAAGTGGCTTTCCTTGCACTGTTTATAGCACAGAAAGTTGCTAACTGCTTCATCTACTTACTTTTGCCACACTCTTTTCTTCCGCACTTCCAGTATTCCAACCAAACATCACAAAACATAGTACTTTTATTATGCATGTGATACGTGTACACTTGAAAATAAGTTGGCAATGCTTGAAGATATTTCGAAGTGTTGCCAACTTATTCTCAAGCGTACACGTATTGTGTGCCTAATAAATAAAACACACAGTTTTGGATTGTTTGGTTGGAATACTGGAATGCAGCAAAAGTCAAAGAGTGCGGAAAAAGTAAGTAAATGCAGCAAATAGCTACTTTTGCATGCTATAATCAGTGCAAGAGGAAGCCCACTTTGTCAGGTAACTGTAGGAAAAGGCCTTTTTTCTCCCTAGGGAGTAAAAGACCTCCTTTGTATTATAAACAGCTCTTTTTTTGCAGTGTGACAAAAAAACATTTTAAGAGTATAGTGAATGAAAGACAAAACAAAGATTCCAAAAAATCACACTCTCCAAATTATTTGTATGCTTTGTTACTAAACAGTGCTTATGCTTATTGGAATTTTTCCTTCTGGCTCATAAGAACACCACAAAGTCGAAAATGTGGGTTTGCTTGTTCTAGTTTATGTGCTTTAATAAACTTAGAAAAAAATCGAGTTGTAGGCCATGTATCATAGATTGATTATTGTATCAGTTGAATAGATATCATTAAATTTTAAACAACACATTGCAAACCTATAATAAAGACGTCCTGGTATATCAGAGGTCTAGTTTCTCGAGGAAATCCATGTGCTGTACTTAGATACTTCAGTCTCTGGTAGATCACTGACAAATCTTTAGGATGCATTTGTTTGGCATGCTCTATCCTGGAATGTTCGTATATATTACGTCATCATGTAAACAGATTTTTGGTGGTCAGCTGTTTGTAATGTCACATATTTAAATCATAAAAGTATACTGACACATTGCTCTGTGTACAGTTCTTAATGTTACAGTGCTTTGAAAGCATGAAAATATAACATAATTTGACCCAATGACAGTGCTTTGTGCAACGTGGAAACATATTTAAACCGTAATACAGCACATTGAATACTGTAATCACCAATTCTTTTTCAACAAAACAATCATCTTAAATTTCATAGCATATGTATTATACGTTATCCTTATATATAATACGTGAAGGCGATTTCTACAAAACACTACTCCTCCGTTAATAATGGACGGATTTTTACAAACAACGTGTCAAAATAAAGTATTTTTTGTGTAGACGCCCCCTTTTACCAATTCCTGTAATAAAAATCCTCGGGCTTTGCCCCACAGGCCATCAAAGTTGGATTTTCTCCCATAAGATTAACATGGGGGTAATTGAAATATTCAATTGGAAACTTTGTCCCCACTAATTTGAGAGATAGGCTGGGCGTAGGAACTTGGTAGGGGTGTCCAAAGAAAGGTCTTGGTCTGTAGATGAGTTATCAAAAGAAAAACTAAGCAAAATCACTTAGGGCTCTGCCCCAGAAGCCTTTAAAGATCCCTCCACAGAGTTGTTTACATTTTGGCCATGTGAATAATACTTTTTAATAAAACAGCTGTTCCTTTTTAAATTGTATCTCAAACAACACATATTTATTGGGAGTTACTGAATTCTACCAAATAAGTATTTGCAATGTTACTTTCTGATTTTAAAATTGATTTTCCTCTTTATCATGTCATGTCATGTTTTGCATTATAACGTTACATTACGAAATCAGTGGAAAATCCTTATTTCACAGCAATTCTTAAATTGTTTCTTATTGAACTACTAGCTGTTGTACCCGTGCTTTGCAACGAGAAGATGACACGAAATAAACAGTTTAATCTTTACATCTATTGCATATAATAGTTACACATCCGCCAACGCTTTTAGAAACAAAATTCAACTTTTATAGCCTGAATAGAAACGTTTAGGTTATGACGTTTAAATCTGGTAAGTAGTGGATACCACCATTTTGGTTTTGATTATTTTAAATCTTGTGTAGGCTGATATGAGAAAAACTGACCAAATCTTTGAATAAAACTTTGACATACACGATTTACATTCATCTCCCTTAGTTACGGTACATATCTTTTTATTTATTACTAGCTGACCCGGCGAACTTCGTATCGCCTAAGTTATAGGTTTCCCCTAAGACAGACCGATGGAAAGAAAGTACCGTTACGTTTAATTTTCAAGATGATCTCGTTCGCATCGCTCAATCACGTCCTGGTTGAAGTTCGTTCGCTACGCTCACTCACCTTTGGGTGAAACAGCTGTTAAGATTCATTAATTCCATTTCTCATAAGGTTAACATGGGAAACTCCAGAGCCACTGGGGCGGAGCCCTTTTAAGAATTTCGAAACGGGAAATAGTTTACGTCCGATTCGCATACCTACAGAATTTACACACCAAATTTCATAACGATCGGTGAAGTCGTTCCGGAGGAGTTTGCAGACAAACACTGTGACACGAGAATTTTATATATTAGATTGACATTTAAAATTCAGTTTTGAAGTTGCAAAAATACTAATTATTAAATTTCAATGAACATTTTTAAAATTGTTTAAAGGTTAGATTAAAATAAACCTACCTCATAGTTATGGAAAATATTATATTTAATTTCTTTGTATCAGCTGTCTGAAATTGTGAAAAATGCAGATTAGCAGTTCTTCTCGTTTACATTTAAATGTCAAAGCAAATGTAAACAAACATTGTTAGTGTTCTCATCGCAGCCATGTAGACCAATCAATATTTACTTTTAAATTTTCACCTCAGAACTTTTAAAGCCAAAGGGGCAAAACCTACAGACAGTATCGAAATGTGAATAGTCCTATAATGGTCCTTGGTATGGTATCTATATTTTTGTAAAATTTAAGCCCAGTTGGTTCAGTAGTTTTTGCACCTATTAGTAACACACATACAGACAGACACCATTAGATTTTTATATAATAGTATAGATCTTATATATATTGTACGGGTTGGTGTCTGCCTTTTTCACCACTTATGCCTACATTTTATCATATTATTATTCTACACATATCAAATATTTATGTAGAAATATCTGCTCTTATCGTGTCTAATAACATCCAAACATAGACACCTTGCCTAAAATGGTACCCATCTTGACAAATTATTTGCACCTGCCAGCTGCCTATATTAAGGACTTTGGCGCACTGGGTTGGTAACATTATTGTAAATAACCCTACATTTGGGCTGTAAAATATGGTACAAAGAGAAAATACGATTTAAGCAGCTACTTTCATGACAGAAAGGTCATATTCCTTTTAAACTAGATCACATAATCCTTTATAAGATACGTTGATTAACATTATGTAAACGTCAATTTATACGTAACAGCCAATTTACAGTATTTTTGCTTTTGGAAATGTCCCATTGCTATGTCATTTGCATTATTGGTTGCCAATGAAGCCGCCAACTTCACTTCAAGTATTCCACTACACCTAACATTCCGTAGAGAGATTATTTTGACAACTTTATGTTATTGATAAGGCTGAGACCCCATGTCAAGGAATTCCAGCTTTTGCAGTAACCCCACAGTCAATTTCTCAAAACTATGCTAGAGGGTTCATTCATTGGCACAGAAGTACGATATGAACTGACGCCACGTGACGAAGGAAAAATCAATCTTACACTGTAACAGATATAAGTTAGAATATGTCTTCCCAAAAAATATTTTCTTTTCAAATAAAATCATATTACACTGATGAAATCACAGAAGTGTTTAACTACAAAAGACCCACCAATACGATTTTAATACTATTTAAATGTTCTTCCAAAGGATAAGGAAGAGATGTCATATAACATACTAATAATAACTCCAATGACGTACGGTATGGGAAATATTTTAATCATTGAATGATCAACCATAGTCGGAAACTAACGCAATTAATATCATTATTGTTTTTACACTTATTACTCTTTAAAGAATGCTAAATGCTTAAAATATGTATATTTCAGCAAATTTAACGCAGTTAGACGAATTAACGTAAGCCTTGAAAGTAACCGTCGATTTCGACGGGTTTCCCCTAGTATTAATAGTTAAGGATTATACCTAATATTACGTTTACATTCATGCATGTGGAAGCTAAAAATAAACTCAGCGTTTTACCTAAAACCAGCTACCCCGATATTTATCAAGTGGTTCAAATGATGCACAATCTTCTCCCTTACTGTTTCACGAGACTGGTCCAAGTCATGCAGATCATCATCGTGACACTCTCTTATCTACACAAGCAAGAACACAAGTCAGCTATGGTAAATAAAAAAACTTAATGTAAAAATATTTTAGACACAAGCATTTTCTTGTGTGGCTAATAAATAAATAGATTGATTAATTATTAGAAAAATATAGTCTTCTTAGGGTAAAAACACACAGGACGCGGCATGGCACGGCACGTCATGAGGCGTTAAAAACAAATACTACTTTACTTTCAACTTTGTAATGCAAAGGAACACACAGTAATTGCATGACTGTACTACAGTTTCACCATACCTCCCACATCACAACAATAATTTTTGTCTTTGCTCACAGTCATATAGTTGTACAATCGCTAAACATACCTGTTTTGCATCTAATGTATCATCTACATCACATTGTGGATGGAAGTCTTCTTTAGTGTATGGAACGCTTGGGTAATACATGTCTCCAGGGTAATAAGATGAACCTCCCACGCCAACACGCTTTTCCGCAACTCCTGCCATAGGGTTGACGTCTTCAGTGTCAAAAGAGAAATCTTCCATGCCAACCTTATCTTTCTTAACTTCTGCCATATGGTTGAGTACAACACTGGCAAACACCCTGTGTAAGCAATAGAGATTCATTATTTTTCTAGTTTTGCACAGAATTTTGTATCTATCTATCTTTGAATGGTACTGTTGTCAAAAAGATAACAATATAAAAATCCCAGCTATACTTGTTGATATATTTTGTAAATGGTTGAAATAATAAAAGAAATTTTTTCCTTTCAACAAACAACGTTTTCATGGTATGGCATCACCATGAAAACGTTGTTTGTTGAAAGAAAAAAAGTCCAACCAACACTCGTACACTTTCAATCCCATTGTAAAATTTGAGGCTCGTTTTTCGTGTCTTGAAAAATGTTGGTGATACTGGGTGCTTGTGTAGATGAAAAATTGTTTCTATTTAGGGTTGATTACTTGTTCCTTATTGTTTTGTTATAATAACTCAGGGACAAGTTATTGTTTATGATTATATTGTTTTATTTGATCAAACAGGGTTTTTTTTGTCTTTTCACATTACTTCAGGCTAGACCTAGGGGTTGGCGGCATTATCACTTAGATAAAATCCATTGGTGACTTGGCGGGGATCGAACCCGGGACCTCAGGGACTGAAGTCCCGCACTCTAACCACTACACCAGCTCGCTCCCATGATCAAACAGGGTTAAAAATAGCTGAAAATAGCTGAATAGTAAGCAAAAAATTGTAAACAAGAACTCTATTCTAATAAAACTGTTTTCAACTGATCCATATATAAGGTAGAGAAATCTATAAAGGGAGTATGTTTTATAATAGATCAACATACTCCCTTAGTCCAATAGTTGGTTTTATCTATAGTTATACTGTATTATTGTTATGGCGGAAATCGTAACCAAAAAATGTCTTTGCCATCAATTCCAGTTCCAGCTCCTTTGATGACTGCAAGCATTCAATCCAAAGAATCCATCTTCATTCAGAGTTTTTTATTAAGTCAGCAGCAAACGAGCTCTAAATGAGAAGGGATAGAACTTTATACCCTGGGAACATCCTCAAGTTGTTCTTGTTTTGACAATCTCTCATTGAATAACTTCTTGATCAGCATCGTACGTGTTATTGAATTACCTGAAAAAAGTAAAAAATATATATGTCTAATAACACTTGTAATAATATACAGTATTTACACTTATACTGTTGACTTACAAGACGGTAAATACATAAGTTGGTAAGTGGTGATCGATTTCGATTGGATACACCAATCATCATCAGACCCAATAGGTGAATTTTGTTAATTTGTTCATTCGCCTATTGGGTCTGATGATGATTGGAGTGTCCAATCGAAATCGATCACCACTTACCGGTACCAACTTTTATATGTATTTACCATCTTGTAAGTCAACAGTATAAGTGTAAAATATTATTACAAGTGTTATTAGACGTATATATTTTTTAATTTTTTCAGGCAAACTCTCATTATAAAGCAAAAGCCTTACCATCCTTCTTTGAAGCAAAGTTTCAATCTCTAAACGAGATGAAATCACCGTTCCCCTAGTGCATTCGGAATAGCTGAAGTCCCTGTGTTGCCAAATATGCACCCAATAATATATTCTTTTATTTTGATTATTTTTTTATTGTAGTCAACAAAATGCATTGTATAAAAAACATCAGGTAGCATAATTTTTGTGAAAATCACAATACAAGTTATTATATTTACATTTTTAGTTTAAAGTATTTTGATAAATTAACATGGTTTTTGTTTCCTTTTTTTAAACTGAGTTTTTTTCACGGTATTTACTAGAATTTATATATCCCACCCTTAAATCATGAAATCGAGGATAGAGGAAAAGAAGAAGATAGAGAAAATGCGTTCAAGCACAGATTTGAATTGGTTTTCTGTTTCAGTTTGTAAAATTTTAAAAATTACTTGTTAAATCTAATGTTATTTAAATGAGAATATTAAAACCAGATAAATACTGACCTAACACCAACATGGTTGCACCTTTTAACCATATCTCTCAGCTGGTTCTCACTCCCTAAACGGTTGATCAGTTGATACGAGACTACCCGATATCTCTCCCACAGAGTATCGCCTGGCTCAACGGTCTCTGCAGGCGGAGAGATCTGGAACAAAGGTGGAGGACCTAATCAAAAGCAGCGAGAGATTTAATTTTAGTGTGCTGCTCGTCAGAAGCCAAGGCATCTACTCCGGAGTTCAGCAAACTCGGGTGTCCACCAGTAAACTGGCTTCTTCCTGCGGCGGGCGGAAATCCTGGGCATGGAATTTCACAGGAAATAGCATCCCACTCCAAAAACCACTCTTAAATTTTGAATTTTGTAAACCCTCGTTTTATTGCACATCTACATCATACCTCATGGACCCCCTATGAAATATGTTTTAATTGTTACGACCTTTAGGTCGTATAAATTGTGAGATATAGTGGTCATCTGTCAGTCGGTGATGTCTTCTATAGAGATGAAACTATTAATTATAATTAGATACTTACTTCGACACCATCAAATCCTTTATTGGACAAAAACTGCTCACATTCATCGGCAATATCTGACCACCGCCACATAGACAAATGTGCTATAACACCACTCTTCAGTTCGAATGTTTTTCCACCGGCTGGTTTTTCATCGTCGACATCGGTATGGTCCCCTTTTATGTTCCCTGCCTGTAAAATGCTTGGTTTTAAGGAATTCCCCATGTATGGATTAATGAATTTCCCATTAGGAAATATAAGGAATACGCTATAACCAAGAATTTAAGATAAGAACAAGAGTCAGGACCAATTTAATTTTTTGTTTTGACAACCACATACCAAAAACACCATCCGTTCATATACAGGTGACAAAAAGTCTGGATGGATAAATTCAGTACCAGTATCTTTATAACTAAATCCGTTAGAAAATTCAAACCTTTCACATATACATAAGGATTTGTTGTCGAGTCTTGCTAGGAAACTCTTTCTTGATGAACCAGGACTTAGATAACAGATGTTCAAATAATACAAATTCCAGCTTTGCTCTGGAAGTAATAAGTCCTGCAGTCTATGGTTGTAACATTTAAAACTATTTAAAAATACGCCCATATGTTTTAGTTGTAAACAAAGGATATTGAGTTTGATCGAATGTCAACAGATAGCGCCACCGCTCCCAAACTTTAACTTGAACTTTAGGTGTACTTAAGTGATGCCCTTTCTTAATATTCTGAGACCTAATAGCACATCTACGTGAAAATAACTTTAATTTGACCCCTCAAACGTTAAAATCCGTCAAGCCATTATCGAGTTAGGACTGTGAAAAGAAAACTGCTTGGGTATTAATATATAAATACTCGTAAGGTTAACATGGGAAACTCCAGAGCCACTGGGGCGGAGCTGGAAAGGATTTTTGAGATAAGAATATGTCCTATATGTTAATCAGGAATTTGGGCTATTTATCATACCAAATGTCAGCCCAATCTGACCAGTAGTTAAAGTGTGATTGAACTTCAAACAAATAAATAAACTAGGTGGCGTTCGCAGAGGCATCCACAAAATTGAACGGAGTAATCAAGGGTTCATATTATATTGTTTTTGTCATACTGCAGTAAAAACAGTAGTTTTTAATGCATGCGTTGCGGGTCTAAAGTAGCATTTTTAATATTTAGGGAGTAAAAATCGTGTTTAGCCTCTATGAAGTAAAAATCTGCTGTTGTCAACTCAGTTGTAAATTTCGATTATAAACGATTGCATGTATCGAAAATATGTATCGATTCGTGCTTCGTAATCATTTTAACATACGGTCTACAGTCTCTTCCCGTAGCATTTTAGCATTGCAGATACATTAATCCATCCCCAAACTCAACACTGCTCACCTTTACTACTTCCTTCACCACCCCCTATGTCGTGGACTTCTTTCCCTCTCTTCCCATAGCATTTTAGGATTGAAGATACATTAATGTAATTGCCAAATCAGTTCCCACACTCTGCACTGCTAGCCTTACTACTTCCTTCACCATTTACTACGTCATAGACCTGTTTCCTTCCTTTCTCATAGCATTTAAGTATTACAGAATCATTTATCTAACTGCCCAAACGGATCTCCCACTCTGCACTGCCAGCCTTTACTACTTCCTTCACCACTTCCTACGTCGTGGGGCCTGTTTCCTTCCCTTCTCATTGTATTTTAGTATTTAAGATACATTAATCTAACTGCCACAGACGGATCTCACACTATGCTGATGCTCATACTTTACTACTTCCTAAGCCACTTCCTACGTCGTGGACCTGTATTCATCACTTTCCATAGCATTTTAGTATTATAGATACGATAATCTAATTGCCACAAACATCCCCACACTCCGTACTGCTAGCCTTTACTATTTCTTTCGCAATTTCCTATGTCGTGGGCATGCTTCCATCCCTTCTCATAGCATTTCAGCATTGCAGATACATTCAAACTGCTACAAACGGTTTCCAGTTCCCACACTCCACACTGCTCATCTTACTACTTCTTTTACCTCTTCCTACGTCGCAGATCTGTTTCCCTCTCTTCCCATTGCATTTTAAGATTGTAAATACCTAAATCTAATCGTCATAAACAGATCCCACACTCCGAACAACTCGCCTTTACTACTTCCTTCACCACTTCCTACGTCGCGGACCTGTTTTACTCCCTTCCCATAGCATTTTAGGATTGCAGATACCTTAATCTAATCGTCACAAACAGTTCCCACAGTCTGGACTGCTTGCCTTTACCACTTCCTACATCGCGAATCTGTTTCCCTCCCTTTCCGTAGCATTTTAGGATTGCAGATATCTTAATCTAATCGTCATTAACAGATCCCACACCCCGAACAGCTCGCCTTTACTACTTCCTTTACCACTTCCTACGTCGCGGTCTTGTTTCCTTCCCTTCCAATAGCATTTTAGGATTGCAGATACCTTGTTATAATCGTCATAAACAGTTTCCACACTCCAGACTGCTCACCTTTATTACTTCCTTCACCACTTCCTACGTCGTGGACCTGTTTTCCTCCATTCCCATAGAATTTTAGGATTGCAGATACCTTAATCTAATCGTCATAAACAGTTCCCACACTGCCTTGACTACTTCATTCACCACTTCCTACGTCAAGGTCCTGTTTTCCTCCATTCCAATAGCATTTTAGGATTGCAGATACCTTAATCTAATCGTCATAAGCAGTTTCCACCCTCCAGACTGCTCGCATTTACTACTTCCTTCACCACGACCCGTTTTCCTCCCGTCCTACAGAATTTTAGGAACGCAGATACCTTAATATAATCGTCATAAACATTTTCCACACACCAGACTGCTCACCTTTACTAATTCTTTCACCACGACCTGTTTTCCTCCCTTCCCATAGAACTTTAGGAATGCAGACACCTTAATATAATCGTCATAAACAGTTTCCACACTCCAGACTGCTCGCCTTTACTACTTCCTTCACCACTTCCTACGTCGCGGACCTGTTTTCCTCCCTTCCCATAGAATTTTAGGAATGCAGATACCTTAATATAATCGTCATAAACAGTTTCCACACTCCAGACTGCTCGCCTTTACTACTTCCTTAACCACTTCATACGCCACGGAACTCAAGCTATTGTCGTCATTTGATTATATTTATGATCCATACCGTTTCTGTTCTAATATCTGTGGAATAATGCTATAAGCTTTTTCTTTATCTACTGCATTCAAAAGTCAACAGCTGATCATATGTCTTTCTTTATGTGTCAAATACTGCTTCCATAAGGATTACATTGAAACTTTGAGACCCAGTGGGGCGGATTCCTGAGAGACTTTTTTAACGCCGACTTTTTTGTTTTGTTTTTTGTTGGCACTCACCGATATGGTCTTTTTCACCATGCAAAATTTGAAAACGATTGATTCAGCCGTCTAAGAGGAGTTTGCGTATTACGAAATGCATAAGAGTCGACGTTTAAGAGCTTCGCTCGCTCCGCTCAACAAACAAACTAACTAAACACACAAACTTTCAAAATATAAGTAAGATTATAACTTACCAATAATAAGAATAAGGTCAGTCGTGATAAAGCTATTAGCGGCGATGTGAACATCATACTTGCCTTGCTCCAACCAAACTAATTTGGAAAACCATCTGGCTATTAATTTGTCACATGACAAATTCTGATCGATGGTTACAAAATGCTGCAAGTTTACATGTTGATTTTTACCGATAATTGTGTTCACGAGCCACAAATTAAGCAAACAAGCGACATATGTAAAACATATTTTGCCCTACATACGTTTGGGTATTTTACAATTATAAGACTGCTGAAGTTGTGACTTCGCTACAACTACTCCCTGGGAAAACCTACATAAAGTTTTCAATAAAAATACTATTTCTGTTGTCATTGGCGGTTCATATATACCCTAAACAAAATTTACCAATGGTACAGTTAGTTTTCTCTTGAATTTTATTAAAAAGTATTACAGTAGACTCAGTGCCGGATTTACCACTAGGCCGATTAGGCCGCGGCCTAGGGCCGCAAGCAGAAGGGGGCCGCAGAGGATTAAGAAAAACATTTTTTAGATAAAAAATATTTTTTTTTACCACCAGTTTGCAGCGATCACAGGTGACCATAATGATGTCTCCGTGGACCAAGGGAGATGTTCACGATTTTGCCACGGCCGCGGGTGTCGGCACAGAAAACATACTACTATAACCTTATAGTATAAGGTTATATTAGTATGTTTTCTGTGGTGACGGCGATGTGTCCTCATGATCGCAGCCCGCGAGAGACGTTCAAGAATTAGCCGCTGTCACGAGTGTCGATGATGTTGTCCCCGTGATTGCGGCTCACGGGAGTTGTTCACGATTTCGGCACGACCGCGGGGGACAATTATGATGTCGTCATGATCGCAGTCCACCGGAGATGTTTTAACACGACTTTGCCGCGATCGCGAGTGTCGATGATGATGTCCCCGTGATTGTGGCCCGCGGGAGATGTTCACGATTTTACTGTGGTCGCGGGTGACGGTGATGATGTCCTCAAGGTCACAGCCTCAAGGTCGTGACTGTTGAGGATTATGTCCCTTTGTTGCAGCCCACGGGGGATGTTTACGATTTTGCCGCGGTCACGGATACCTATGATGGATTTGTCTTGGTTTAGGAGAGATGTCCACGATTTCATCCACGATCATGGGTGTCGATAATGATGTCCTCTAGATGCATAGGAGATATTCACGATTACTTCCGCTATCTCAAGGAATTTCCACCACAGGGGGAGGGCCGCTCAAGTAATTTGGCCTAGGGCCGCAAGTACCCTAAATCCGGCACTGAGTAGACTCCCTCTTATCCGGACTCCTCGGGACCCGAGGCCAGTCCAGATAACGGGTTTTCCGGTTAAACCAACGTCCCCAAAAATTAGTTTGTTTACTGTGATATTCGACTTAAATTTAGGAGAGCATTGTATTTAGACACGTGATCACTGGTCTCAAATTTTTCCCACGAGAACACTCGTTTTAGTAATGTCCACTTCCTGCCGATCTAGTCCGGTTAAACCAATGTGCTGATAAAAATTGTCCGGTTAAAGAGATGTCATTTCCGCCGAGTGTAGTCCGGTTAAAAGGTGTCCGGATAAGAGGGAGTCCGTAGATAGTCTATCTTAAAGTAGTGTAACACAACAACCTTTATTTTGAGACATGATGTTCTCTGTCACTGTCTCGGCTCCTAATTTGATATTATAGTTGATTTATGCTGCCCTTCTTTTTAATATTCTTATGCTAAAGTTAAATAATAATAATAATAAAATAAATTTCAAATGTGTTTTTGATATTGCGGCTTTTATTTGGTACAATTTCAGAAGAAATTCCTAAAATGTAATAAAGTACGTACGGTACTTCAAGCACTTGTACAATATGTTTTTAACTGCTTTTTACTGATTTATCTATTTATACAGGGTGCGACAAAAAAACCGATCTATTTTCTGCAGAGCACTGTTCAGCGACAGGTCGTCCAAGAGTGGTGGGAGTAGGCTCGTTGTAAAGCCTACACGATACCATATTTTGTAGTCATAGAGCAGTGGTTGCCGGAGCTAGTGCGGTGGTTATAGAGTCGTTTTTATAAAATAGTGAATTCATTTATTGCTACTCAGCGGCAGTTTCATGCATACTTTCAATTAAGGCGACATGGAGAAGTTCCGTTGCGTAGCACAATAATGCAGTGGGTTACTTACTTTAGGACAACGGCTTCTGCGTTGAAAAGGAAGCTGACAGGCCTTCCAAAGTCAGAGCGGACGCCAGACAACAAACATTTGATAGAGTTCGTGCTGCTGTGGAAAAGAGTCCTTGTAGGCCCGCCCGAAAACAAGCAGCTGCCTTGAACATGTCTGACCGCTAAGTTATACAAATTTTGAGGCTAATTTTCATCCCTAGGGATTAGAATAATAATCTGTATAATTTGGTAATCGTCCATACAGATAATCAGAACGGAACTTCTCTATGTCGACCTAATTGAATAAAAGCACGGAACTGCCGCTGAGTTGCAATGACTAAATCATTACTTTTAAAAACGACTCGATAACAACCGCACATAGCTGATACGACCACTGCTCTATGACTAAAAAAATGGCATTGCATAGGTTTTCCTACTCCCCCCACCCTCAGACGACCTGTCGCTGAACAGTGCGCTGCAGAAAATGGGTCGGTTTTTTTGTCGCACCCTGTAAAAATATACTGCTATAAAGCTTTGTAATGAAATAGCAAATTTAGTAATCGTGGTAAAATGGAAACTGCCTAGTTTTGAGATGCAAAAATGAGGAAGAAGTAAATTTTCACAGTTCTGACTTTAAACATATTTTACTCTAAAACTGTGTGTGATAGAAAAGCACTTGAAACACAAATTTTGTAGATAATTCAATTCCACACAAATGGTTTTCCATCAGATTTAAGATCCAAGCATTCATTCAGCTTATACGGGCCAAAATATAAAGTCTTACATAGTCTAATTTCACCAGAAATAGCTCTAACCCCCCTAAACCCCCTTAAATTTAGAATTTCGCAAAACACTGTTTTATTGCACATCTACACCATATAGGGACTCCAAAATTCCAGAATGATTTTGCACATCATTTTCCCCTAATACATTTAAAGCGAGTTACATATATGAGCCAACTAGGCAAATACATAAGCATTCAAATAAAAAATAAAACAAAATTTCACGTTCTAAAACTAAAATAAACTGATAAAACAAAATCAAAATTAAAAATAAACATTTAATTTTCATTAATATTTACAGAGTACAAATGGCAAGCAGGGAGGAGAGTGAATCGGCAAAAAACTCATCAATTGATTAGAAAGCCATGTCCTTTAGCCAGCGCACCAAGACACGTTCAAAGCGGTTTTTCTCAAGCAGCCTAACTCTAGTTGGAAGCTTATTGTACATCTTCAACGCCAAGTCCGGGAAGTGCTTTGAGGTCTTAACTAGCCTGCGTCTCGGGATGTCCAGATTAGATCTGCTTCTTACGTATTGGTCATGTATTTCGCTTCTGTGGTGAAGGAGGCCTCATGTCGCTTAACATAAACCAGCGAAACCAGGATGTAGTTAGACAGTACGGTGAGTATGCCCAAACTCCGAAACAGAGGGGCCGGCAGTGATCTAGGTAATCACTAGAGGTGATAATTCTCACCGCTGCCTTCTCCAGCAAAAGCAGTCTGTAGCACTCTGTAGCACATATAACTCTACAATTGCCAAGTCCAAGCCATCTCCGATGACGCGATAACGTTCATTTTTCACCACCAACTCATCTGAAATACAACCAGTAGGATTACGGCTACCACGCGGTCACAACATTCACAGAGCAGTTGAAAGGGGCGGGGTCAATCTCTGGTTAGAATTATTGAGAAAAAATCTAAAATAGGTACCTAACTGCCGTAGAAAAAGACAAAATTAAGAAAGTGTATAGATCCACTGACGTAGGTTTTAAAACCTAAGTTTCTTGTGTGTGCTGTATCATTGTGTTTGCACATTGCATTAAAAAAAAACAATAAAGATTTCTTAAAAGGAAAAAAAATATATGTACAGCTTTATTATAGTAATATGTGCTACGAATGTTATCTTGAAAAGGATTCTGAACAGCAACATTGTTGTCAAATTGATTGTAAACTTGAATCGGTTACGTTAAAACCAATGGTGATACATAAATTTCTAAACAAGGGCTGTCAGTTTGTTTTTAAACATTTGTAGAAAAAAGTTTGGAAAACATTGCTATATGGTGCACATAACAATTTTGTTTGCTAGTAAACCAAAAGACTTACTAGAAAAATACTCATCAAAATGAAATGTTAAGCTGGGTTTTCCTAGACGCGGAGTCGGCCAGCGGAGAGCGGACAACGGAGAGCGGAATTGAAATTAACATGGCATCCCGCTCCGCTGCTAGGAAAACAGTAACATTAAATTACCTAAGACAAGCTGAGTCCGCTCTCCGTTGTCCGCTCTCCGCTGGCCGACTCCGCGTCTAGGAAAACCCAGCTTTAGAAATCACTGATTAAAATGATGGCAACAACAGTTTTGTTTGCAATTACAAAATAACTTTATATTGTAGAAAAATACTCTGTGAAATGATTGAAATCAATGCAAGAAGGAGTCTTTAAGATGGCTTAGCATACAAGTAAAATTACGTTAAATATTATGTTGTCAACTACGGCTAAATACGTAATTTAAAATAATTCAAAATATTTTTTTTTATTCACTATAATATTGATCATTTATCATTTGAACTCAAAACTTTAGATGTGAAATGATACAGTTGTTTAATTTCTATCCAAATAATTAGAAACAGGCTAATGTCAAAGTAAATAAAAGCCAAGGTTAAAGTAAACCAGGTTAGATAAATCAACAAAATATAAACTTGCATCATCTGTAACTATCCATCAAAAATTGTCATATGGCAAGTTTTAATGGCCAGATGGTTTTACAAATCATAGTTTAGTTGGAGCAAGGCAAGTATGGTCACACGGCTACTCCTAGTTTTATCCCAACTGGCCTTGTTCTTATCATTGGTGAGTTTTAATAGAAAAACAACTAGCTTTGATTCAAATAACTTCCATCTGATAAAAAAATAACAATTAATTCATATTGTATACAGAGTACTACAGCCAAACTCCCAAAATATTATAATGGGTAAAAAAAAAAGAAATCAAGAATAACATTTTTTGAAAAATAATTCTTTGATAGAAAACGTTAAAAAATAAATGACAACCAACCTAACAAAAAAATAATCGAGACACCCAAAAAATGTTGGTTCATAAACAATCCAACAATATAAAATCAAACATCTGATAAAAGACATAGAAAAACGATAACATAGTAACAATAACAATAGTATAATAAAAATATAAATAGGTAGTTTAATAGTGTGTGTGATTGTATATTATTGTTGGTTTAATTATGTTTCTTTAATTGCAAAATTGTATAGTATTTAAAATAAATATCTTTCAAATTATTAAAGGTACTGTATCTTTATAACATTTTATATGTAATTTAAAGTAGCAATGAACTATTAAAAAAAAAAATGTGTTTTCGAAATGAGAGCAATTTGAACTTTTATAAATAAAGATGAGTTAATATCAATCAATCAATCAATTATTGAGATGGGGACGCCACCTAGGTGCGTATTTTAACCCAAATATATTTTTTATTACGTAAAATACACTGCTTTGTAATGAAGTAGAAAGTTTGGTAATCGTGGTTAAATGGGAACTGCCATGTTTAGAGGTGCAAACATGAGGAAAAAGTCAATTTTCACAGTTTTTACTTTAAACATATTTTACTCTAAACCCTCCTTTTGTGTTACTTGAGGGGCATCAAAAATATAATCTATATATATATAAGGCAAAGCCCTCACTGACTGACTCACTCACTCACTCACTCATCACTAATTCTCCCACTTCTCATTTACCGGTACCTAGGAGGCTGAAATTTGGTACACTGATTCTTTAGGCATTAAATAGGAAAACTAAGTTGTTTTTATTCTGATCGGACTCTCGGGCTCCGCCCCAGTGGCTCTCGAGTTTCCCATGTTAACCTTATGAGTACTCATATTTAAATGGAATTAATGAATCTTAACAGCTGTTTCAATTAAACAAGTTGGTTCTGTTCTATGATGTGCAATAGCATTAAAGTTACAAGAATTACCAACAGGGTGCAGCACTATTATTTTTTTTATTTATGACAACAGCTAATTTGCAACCAAAAGGCGAATGAGCGTAGTGAACGAACTTCAACCTGGAGGCGAGTTAGCGTAGCGAACGAGCTAACCTGAAGGCAAGTCAGCGCAGCGAACGAGCTCCAACCTAAAGGTGAGTGAGCGTAGCGAACGAACTTCAACCAGGACGTGATTGAGTCATGCGAACAAGCTCACTTATGAAGTAAAACGGGGCAAAGCCCGCGGGTACAGCTAGTTGTTCATAAACAAACTTCAAAATTATGTCTCTAAACTGGGGTCTCAAATTTGATTTTGTCAGCTGATTCATTTCTTCTAGTGAATTGAACAACATTGGATACTACTTACATGATCATAACCCTTATTTTAAATTCTGAAAAAACTAAGTTCATAACGTCTAAAACACCACAAAAACGGAAAATCTTCAGATCTAACACTAGCATATAAATACAAAACATCATTAGGGAAAGTACAGTGGTGGATTAATGACCTCAGCGGCCCCTGGGCACATGTAAACTTGCCCCCCCCCCCCATGGGCGTCATTTCAGACTTTTAACTGGGGTAGCAAGATCTACCAGGGGGTCTGTTACCATCTGTACTATCTGTCTGTACCATCTGATCATAGTAGTAGTATCTTTAAGTGTAGCCAACTTATTTTAAAGCATGCACGTATTACATGCCTAATAAAAGCACACCGTTTTCTGTTGTAAGGTTGGAATATTGGAGTGCGGCAAAAGTAAAATGAGTGCAGCAAAAGTAAAATGAGTGTGGTAAAAGTAAGTAAATGCAGCAATTAGCTACTTTGCCTGCTATAATCAGTACTAGAAAGCCCGCTTTGTCAGTTAACTGTAGGAAAAGTTAATTGCTTACTTTAATGGTACTTACATACTTAACTATACTTTATCATACTTTATTATACTTAATTTCATACAGATACAATTAATATTTGGTGTTTTTGGTCTGTCACCGTCAAAAAGGTTAATTTGGTCCTAGGTCTAGGTCTACCATGAGACCTGCGGTTATAACGTATTCCTTCTATGCCCTGCATACAAGACAATAATGAACATAGGAAAGGCATAAATATTCCATAGATGGAAAATTTGCTAAACTCAAACATTTTACAGGCAGGGAAGATAAAAGGAGACCATACCGATGTCAAAGGTGAAAAACCAGCAAGTGGGAAAGCATTTGAATTGAAGAATGGAGTTATCGCACATTTGTTCACGTGGCGGTGGTCAGATATTGCCGATGAATGTGAGCAGTTTTTGTCCAAAAAAGGGTTTGATGGTGTCCAAGTAAGTATCTAATACTAACCTATTTTCATAACTTATTTTGATAAAAATATCAAACGAAAACATGTTTATTTTCGAATACCAAAACCTATTAATAGATACTCTTTTTGTTTGACTAATAGCATATAAAAAGAGCAAATAATTCTCTCTATCCCTTTAATTAGTGTCTCCACCATTGTTACAGATCTCTCCTCCTGCAGAGCACGTTAAGTCAAATGGACTCTGGGCTAGGTACCAAGTAGTCTCATATCAGCTGGCCAGCAATTCAGGGAGTGAAAATCAGCTGAGAGATATGGTTAAAAGGTGTAACAATGTTGGTGTTAGGTCAGTATTTGCTAGTTTAAAAACAGTCCTTAAACTAAACATTTAAGACTTTCTTCAATAAATAACATTCAAATAAACAAATTATTCTGGCATTGAATGAATTCCAAAGGCATTTGGCAACACAAGAACTTTGGCAATTACAAATACAGTAAGAGAACAGGGATTTCATCTTGGATTCCGGTTAAAACTCTACTTCAAAACAGGAAGTTAAGGAGATTCACAATTAGGTTTTTGAAACAAGAACGTCTAAAGGATGCCCCCTCTCCTTAGAATTTGATATCAATACCTTCAAATACATCCTTTGAACTTCATTGAATCTCTGATAAATATTGGTCCTTTGGCTTTGCCTTTGCTATAAGTGGCAATCCTTGATAAGTTCAATGGAACATTCATCAAAGGAGCTGGAACTGTTGGGGCATTTTTAATCACAATTCCGTCCACAACAGTAACACCATGTTAGTTTCACGTTAAAATAAAGGATTGTATTTACTATTTCTACCATTTAAACAAATATATATCAACTACCTGGGATTTTAATATTGTTGATCTTTGTAATAACATTATTATTCAAAGAGACCAGGTAGATGGACAAAGATTAATGAAATGAGTTTACTGTATGAAAATAGAAAAACAATAAATTTCTATTTGTTTATACAGGGTTTTTGCCGATGTTGTATTAACCCACATGACAGATATAACGGAAAGACGTGTTGGCGTGGCAGGTACATCTTTTTACCCTGAAGACAAGTATTACCCGGGTGTACCATACACAAAAGAAGATTTCTATCCACCCTGTACAATAACTGACCCGTCTGATGCAAAACAGGTATGTTTAGGGCTTGTGAGTAGGAAGTATTGTGACACTATGGTACATCAAGTAATCATCAGTACCGCTCCTTTCACACTACAGGGTTTGTGCCGTCACAAATCGTTCGGTTTTACACAGTGTCTATGTTTCTTTCACATTATACGTTTTATGAGATGAATGTGTTTACAATATCACAAACATAAATAGTGTCCAATTGACAAGCCAGATTGTAAACAATAAACAGCTGATTTATTTGCTCTGGTTGGTGGTCTCCCGAGTTTCGACAAAAACGATACAGTCTTAAAGCTTGCATTGAACTACATGCGCCACTTGCGTACGGTGCGACAACGTCATTGGCAGTAGACGGCTACAAGACAGCATGGTTTTCTACCATCGTAGTGCGAAGCTCTCATGCTCTTCATGACACCATTGATAAAAATTTAACCTTATATGACTATAGTCAATGATTTAACCATATGGCAAAAACTGTACGGTGTTAAAGGAAAGTCAATAGAGGGATATCAGAGATATATGTCTATTTGTGTATTTATACCATCATTAATTTGTCGGATGAATATAGTCTAAGGCACTTTTAAATCTAGATGTCTTAGATTAAAAAACAAATGTTTTGAAATAACAAGGCAAAATAACATCATAATAATTAGTTGTAATAGGGATAAAAATATAGAAGTAAACGTACAATGTCATTGAAAAACAAAATGTTTCAAAATAATCTTCCAAAGATAGAATTGCCTTCTCCAATAGCAGTGTTATCAAATATTTTTTTATTTGGCTTACTAGTAAATTTATTTTATCTTTAATGGCAGTTTATTGTAAATTTTGGGCTCCATGTATATATGAAAGACTATTTCTATTAACCACCAATCAATCAATTTATTTATAATACTTCCAATAAAATGCTCGTATTGCTAAATTTGAGGTAAAGATAATTTATATTTTTATACAAAATATTTATTTTTATACCTCTTATATAAATATTCATATAGACTGACTTTTGTTTTTGCTGGTGTAGATACGAGAGTGTCAAGATGATGAACTGAATGACTTGAACCATTCTCGTGAATCAGTAAGGGAGAAGATTGTGCATCATTTGAACCACTTGATAGAAATCGGGGTAGCTGGTTTTAGGTAAAAACTGCTTTTACTTATAGTTTTCACATGTATTTGTGTATATTTTCATGATTTTAATATCATTTTATGTTACACATAGCACTGTCAATGTGCCATATATCTGTATACTTTTATGTTTTTAATATGATCCCACGATACATAGCACTGTGAATGTGCTTGTGCCAAGTTTGCTGAACTGTGAAGTTTGTTGTGTTGTTGCCAAGTGAAGTGTGCTTGGACACACCAAGTTTGAAGTTGGTGCCTCAAGTAGTTCCAAAGTCATGGAAAGCTGTAAAAAATACATACACACTGACAGACGGAAAACAAAGCAAGATAGGGCATATTATATTTGTATATACAAGAAGTTAAGTTACCTTGATTCTGTCCAAGTAAACCTTTAAGTTGTCATTAGTGCGACCGGTTTCGATGTCTTTGATGGTATCATTGTCCAGCTAGACTTAAAATCGCTCCTAAGAGGTCGTCATGAGTCTTGAAAAACACATAACACGTACACAAACAAAAGACGATAAAACGGGTGGCCACACAACTAATTTACAACACGGCAGCGGGTAGGTCTAGACTGACACCGTGTCTTTCTAGCCTCACCTTCCCCCTCAAGTTATCAGCTGTTAATAATATCTCTGTTTAAGGCTGCCTCATAAATTATATTGGATTCAAATGAGGATTTATATTCTTCAATGGTATCTAAACATCTTCCTCTTATGGACCTTAGAACCTCTAGATTAGTGTTGATATCTGTGTATTCGTGGTTGTTATTAATAAAATGTTCAGCAAATGCAGAATTAGGTTGGTTAATAGATGGTTTCGGGAGATTTTCTTTCTCTCTCTCCTAAAGGAAGAGGAAGATTGAAGAATTTGAAATTTACAAGGCCGGCAAAAAAAAAAAAAAAACACCCCCAATACATCTTGAATGATAAATCCTCATTTGAATCCAATATAATTCATGAGGCAGCCTTAAACATTGACGAGATATTATCAGCAGCTGATAACTCGAGGGGGAAGGTGGGGAGAGGAAGACATGGCGCTGCATGGGTCTAGACCTACACCCTGTACCCGCCGCCGTGTTGTAAATTAGTTGTGTGGCCATGCATTTTATCGTCTTTTGTTTGTGTACGTGTTATGTGTTTTTCATGACTCACCTCTTAGGAGCGATTTTACGTCTAGCTTGACAATGATGCCATCATAGACATCGAAACCACTAATGTCGACTTAAAGACGACTTGGACAGAATCAAGGTAACTTAACCTCTTGTATACAATTTATGGAGTAATCCGGAAGGCAAAGATGATATTTTTGGTTTGTTTTAACCTAAGGAACATGCCCACGGAGTTTCGGGAGAGAGTTTCGAACCACCCTCTATATACTACAGTATATATTTACACATATCAGTTACAGAAATGCACTTACTGTATTAAGGCTAGGAAAAGTTATGCGAGTTTTTACAAAATCTAAATTCTGTTTAATAAGCTATATCACACGGAGCATAGGCCAACTGTAGTAGTCTCTAGTTTAATAATTCTGGGCATAATCAGAGCTATTCATAAACATTTTTACTTAAAACATATGTTTCTTCATTTTAAATGATGTAGTTATTTACAAATTTTTCAGGATAAATTTTGCCGATATAATGTATCCTGATAACTTGTCAGTGATCTACCAAAGACTGGATTATCTCAACACAGAACACGGCTTCCCTGCAGAAACTAGACCTCTGATATTCCATGAAGTCTATACTTTTGGTTTGTAAGATGCTGTTTGAAATTTAATTACAACTAATAGTCAATCAAATTTCACATAGGGGATGGATGCACTATTACCCTAGGTTATCAATATGGTCTCAATATATGGTAAATGGTAAATATATGGTCTCTTGGTAAAACCTAGACCCGAAATTGATTTCCTTTTTTTGTTTTGAGGTCCTTATAGAAGCCAAAAACTCCATCCGTTCAAATTCATCACACCCCATTTGTTTTTTTGTATACAGGGTGAATTTTAAATGAGTTCCCCCCCTACTTTTTTCTGCATTTCTTAAGATATCATCTCCGGACCACGTCAGATCATTGTTGAGTAGTAAGTACTTCATTTTGACTGGGTATACATTTTTTGCCGCCATCTTGGATCCGCCATATTGGATACAAAGTTTTTTTTTCAAATGTAAAGGTAGGGTTGTGACCCATTATTTCAAACCAGAATTTTACGCTGATTACAATGCCGCAATTACTTTTTAAAAATCTTGATCCGTTCTAAAGTTATGAGGACTTTTTATAACTTAATTTTTAGCGCATTTTAACATTGTGCATTTACAAACTAAGACCATAATCTCAAAATAGTGCTAGATAAAGATAAGTATACACCACCATTCATTGCCAACATATTTTCACTTGGTTATGACGGATGTAGTTTTTCAGCCGCCATCTTGGATCCGCCATTTTGAAATGTGATCAATTAATTGAAATATGAAGGTGGTGTTGTGACCCATCATTTTGAACTACTTTTTTATACTGGACTCAATGCTGCAATCCGTTTTTGGTTATCAAGCTGTCTCGATGAAATATTAAAATAGTCTTATTTAAAATTTCAATATTTCAAAAACCAAAGATGCAAATGAAAAACGGATTGCGGCATTGAGTTCAGCATAAAAAGGTAGCTCAAAATGATAGGTCACAACACCACCTTCATATTTAAATTAATTGATCACATTTCAAAATGGCGGATCCAAGATGGCGGCTGAAAAAACTACATCCGTCATAACCAAGTGAAAATATGTCGGCAATGAATGGTGGTGTATACTTATCTTTATCTAGCACTATTTTGAGATTATGGTCTTAGTTTGTAAATGCACAATGTTAAAATGCGCTAAAAATTAAGTTATAAAAAGTCCTCATAACTTTAGAACGGATCAAGATTTTTAAAAAGTAATTGCGGCATTGTAATCAGCGTAAAATTCTGGTTTGAAATAATGGGTCACAACCCTACCTTTACATTTGAAAAAAAACTTTGTATCCAATATGGCGGATCCAAGATGGCGGCCAAAAATGTATACCCAGTCAAAATGAAGTACTTACTACTCAACAATGATCTGACGTGGTCCGGAGATGATATCTTAAGAAATGTAGAAAAAAGTAGGGGGGGAACTCATTTAAAATTCACCCTGTATATATATATATATATATATATATATATACAAAAAAACAAATGTCCCCTTACCACAATAACTCGAGCAAAGAAACATTAGACTTTATGAAATTTGGTACAAGTAAAAATACGTTAATTCAAACGAGTTTTGTGAACAAGCATGATCAGGCTATGGGAAGTGAAAAAAATCATCTACACAGTCAAAGTTAGGGAACAGTTAGTTAGTTTGGAACATGGGATTATGGGGGTTTTCTGGGATAAAAATTGAGTTTTCCCAATTTTTTATTTTATATTTGACCACTGTCCACTGTAATACTGTAGATGAATGCCACCTTCAACGAGAGCAGATGTGAAAATCAACTGATATTATGATGATGTGTTCACAGATGATGAGGGGCCAATAAAGTATGAGGAGTACACCCCACTAGGATTAGTCCTGGACTTTACGTTTGGCCTTCAGTTGGGGAAGTTTTTTCAAGGCAAACAAAATCTCAAAGATCTTCAGAACTTTGGTTTGTTTGGTTTAGTCTTTATAATAGTTTGTTCAAATACTTATATTGTTAGGTTATATGTTAAAATCTTGGGGGAGCGAGCTGGTCTAGTGGTTAGAGCACGGGACTTCAATCCATGAAGTCCCGGGTTCTAATTCCGCCATATCACCAATGGGTTTTTGCTTGTTTCAAACAAACTTGGAAAATTTATTTATTTCATAGTCAACTATCAACATTTCACAAAAAAAATCTATTACCTTCTCTATAGTGGGAAATCTATGTATTGGTTAAATTTTAAATAGGGAATAAAATATGACATTTAAAGAAAGATATTAATAAAAATCCAATCCGGTCAAATTGGAATTCGCTTTGTCTGCAGTTTTGCTGCCAGGACGGTATTTTGGAAATTTTCACTGATGAATTAAATTATTAAAAAAAAAATTGTTTCTACCTCCTTGTTGTTTTCAATGCTAAATATTTATGTTATTTTATAATAAAAAATATATTAAGTTTGAGTATAGTCACACCAAGTTATTTAAAACATTTTTCAATTTCATTGTTTGTTTTATTTTAAACCAGGCTCAGAAGGAATTATCCTGCCAAAACAACAGCGTGTTGTGTTTGTTGAAAATCATATCACGGAACGATTACCACTATTATCAGTAGACTTGTTTCTAAGCTACAACAAACCAAAAGCGTACAAGGTTAGTGTGTACTGTGTTGTTATTTTATTCTGCTATTAATTTAAGGTAAATTAATTATTTTCTAGTTTTATTTAAGGTAAATGAATTATTTTGTAGTTTTATTTCCTATGTTTTGTTTTTTACTACTTATTAATGGTGTAGTTTGGAAACACTAACCATTATCAAAAAAATGACTAACATATATTATTAAAACACAGGATTCTCGGGAAAAGCAGAGTTGGAGCTATTCGCAACTTGTTCCGCCCTAAATTCCTCGCTGCTTCTTACATACTTTCAATATATGCAATTGTTTGCAATAGAAATTTACAACTAAGTTGACAACAGCTGATTTTTACTCTCTAGGGGCTAAAAACGCTTTTTACTCCCTAGAGAGTAAAAATTCTACTTTATGACTGGCAAAACAAACAAAGAACACACGTTAATATTGTGTAATGGCATTAAGATATAACAGGATCATACAGTATGTATCGAGGTACAAAATTAACTGCTTAATAAGCACTTTCAACTATTCTTATAGAGAACATTTTATGTTATATCTAGTTTTATGCTAAATATTTTACTATTTTTTCTGCCGTCCCATACTAAGACCTTTAATCTGAGCCCTCTTCAAACTTTTTACCACTTGCCAGACACCCACAATTATTTTGACGAACGAATCCTCTTATGAAATTAATAGCTATTTACATTACAAGTGTAGTAAGAGCGTTTTTACATCACACAGGTGAATGTTGTGCAACGAGCGAAGGCGAGTTGCATAATTCAACGAAGTGATGTAAACACGCTCTTGCGTAACGTGTAACGTACAAGATTTTACCTGACCCTACAATATTCAGGAGGTTACGAGCAATATACTTCATTATCAATTTCACTCATCTTCTAACAGTAACGTTCATTTACAAACAAAAGCTAGGTTAGGAAAATTCTTCAAAGCATAACAATAAAATTCAAACACACAGCTGATTTCTAGCGTTGAACGTCGTTGGCTCCATAGAGGTATATTTTTTAAGTTATCCACTCAATGTTATTTAAATGGGTTTCATTACATCACCGAGTGAGTTTTTTTCAACTTTACATCACTTTAGAAGTAAGGAAGTTGTATACATCACGCTTGGGATAGGGAAGTTTAACATGGCGGGTTAGGTAAATATATATATATATATATATTTCTACACTTTAAACTATATATTAAACATCTATTGAAATAAAGAATCCTGCAATAATTATGAGTTTTTTATCCAAAGAACAACCACCATACAATGCTCACAGAGCTTAAACCGAGTGTAAGCACATAAAACGCCAGCTAGATTTCAGATTCCAAAGGGTACACACACACTCTGCGATGTATTGTAAATCAATTTTAAATATTCATAATACTTAGGCAAGATAAACTCTATTTTACAAAGCACTAGTCACTGAAACAGGATCGTATCCAAATTTAAACATCATGCAATTTTATTTAAGAATCTTAATAGCTTACGGTTCTTTTTCCTATTCACAGATGGCAGTGATTTTCATGTTGGCTCATGGAGATGACACTTGCAAGATATTTTCGGGTTACCGGTTCGAAGATGTACGTCAAGGCCCTCCTGATCTGCCTCCTCGTCCTATCAAGAGAAACGTTTGTTCCAACGGTTGGGAGTGTCAACATCGGTGGCGTCAGATATACAATGCAGTGGAATTCCACAATGTTGTCAAAGGTAGAGTGGAACAAAATAAGAAGGATCTGCTGGGAAACTTGTTCAGGTTGTTCCTTAAGAAATGTTATGATATTTTTAGAATTTACGTGCAATTTTAAGACTTTACATTTCCCTTCTAAAACTACTTGTTTAGGAACTACAGGATGCAGAATGTTAACAGCAAGCCACTTTTTCCAAAGATGTAACACGCTGTAGTTCTTAAACAAGTAGCTTTACAAAAAAAAGTGTACAATTAAAGGGGTTTTCAATTGCATTTACATTCCAAAACAATCATAAAATACAAGGTGTTCCATAAGAAATTTTTAAGTTATCTGCCATTTTATAAAAAGTGGAATTCATACCTATGTTTTAACGTCATAAGAATCTATTTCAAGTTCTCAATTTCAATTTAACGTTTTCTCAAAATCTATTAGTTTGAGATACCAATGGTGGGACAGATAAGATAAGATGTTCACCCTGTAGAATATCTTCTTATATGTAGAATATATTCTTATGTAGAATATCTGTAGCAATATCTTCTTAGGTCGAAGCGAACGCAACTTTTACCTAATAAATTAACAATTCAAGGTAATTTTCAATATGAATGGGATTTGTTTGTATTAATTATGGCGCTGTACTGACCTAGCAGTTTGAGCATGGGTCTTCTTCCTTCCAAGGCTAGGGCTTAAACCTCGTTTACACGAGGCAGTAGGCAGGTAGCTTGCCCATAAAATAAACTTTCTACGAGATAATTCAGCAACACAGGCGTTTTGGAACACCACTTAAGCTGTTACTGCATTGGTTCTCCCCGACCAAAGATCTGAACACTTTTTTCCATCACTGAGTAAAATATTCAGATTTTCTTTCATGAGTTTAACATTTTCCTAGGTACGCCAGTGACTAATTGGTGGAGCAATGGGAAAAATCAAATTGCTTTTTGTCGAGGAAACAAAGGATTTGTGGCTTTTAATTTGGACAATGTTGAATTAAACCAGAATCTAAAGGTGAATACATTATTCCGATACAATTACTTATCTCCAACGATTGTATAAGGTTGTTTTTCATTTGTTGCTTACTGAAATGAAATGAAATTTGGTCAAGTCAAAATTGTGGAGATTCAAAATATTATTGTTATGTATTAATAAACTGTATTCTAAAGCACGATGGAATAGTTGTAAAAACTTGGTTGACAATTTGTTTTTATTTTAATAATAATCAAATTTTAAATCAACCAAGGCTGATGGGATTTCTACTCAAAATATTTTTTAATACGTCAGAAACATTCCCCATTTTAAAAGGTTACACGTGAGAATACACGTGAGAACTAGTTTGCTGCTACGGGAAAGTTAATATGGTGTGGTTTTTAGTAAATTGTTAGAATGAAATTCGCCAAAATATCAATAAACAAGCACTATGACAATTTATCCATAAGAATAATAGTGGAATTTTAAATATACAGTTTGATGAAATTTTCTCTGTAACCATCAAGGGTACAATAACGCCAATATTAAATCATTTATTTCTTAACGCCATAAACAAGTTTTCAGAAACAAATTACTTAAATTTTATATTTTACGGTCGAAAAAAAAAACAACTATTTTCACCCCATAAAATCTATAAAACCCTTATCCCACGGTTCAATTATCAAAACAAAAAAGTAAATCAGGCCATCCAAAGAGGTAAATCTGAGCCAAGCAATTCAAGTTCGGTCTCACCAGAGTACCTTAATCTTACAAATCCGTTATAATTCTCTAAGAAAAGCTGAAAGACAGCAATCACTAATTATTGTGTCCAATGTTGAACATTATTATACATAAAATGCATTACTACATATTTATGTTAAAAACCAATATTGATGTTTCAGACATGCCTGCCAGAGGGAGAATATTGTGATATAATATCTGGAGAAGTTACAACTACAGGGTGTTCTGGCAAAACAATAAAAGTTGAAAAAGACGGAAAAGCAAACATAGTTATACCAGAGAACGCAAGTCCTGATGACGGTGTTGTGGCAATCCACATTCAATCTGGAACTGTGTACGGAGATGGGAATCGGAAGAAAACTGAGATGTAATTTCTACAAATGGAAATGTATGAAATAAAAATAAATGACATATGGAATTTATCATTGTTGACTTATTTCTTGAAACTCACTACACAACACTAAGAACACTTTATTGCTTTCCCTTGTAGCAGCAAACATACGTACTTTTAAAACTAATGTTATTTAAATTGGGAATAAATCTTATATGTTTATTAAAAAAGTTAAAAATTTAATCAGGAAAATTAATCTGCTGTAGGTTTGCACAGTTTACTTTTTCCTTATTTAATTTTAGGGAATTTTTCTATAGAGAATTAGCTATTACCATAGGTGGCAAGGTAAGACCTGGAACCGGGACCGATATACGTTTTCATTCACTGTCAAAGCAAATGTAAACAAACATTATTAGTGTTCTCATCGCAGCCATGGAGACAAAATCAAAATTTACTTTAAAAATCCTCACCTCAGAACTTTAAAGCCAAAGGGGCAAAGCCCACGGTCAGCATCAAAGTGTGAATAGCCCTATAATGGTCCTTGGTATGGTAGCTATATTTTTGTAAAATTTAAGCCCAGTTGGTTCAGTAGTTTTTGCGCCTATTAGTAATACACATACAGACAGACACCATTAGATTTTCATATAATAGCATTGACTATTGGAATAGTCAAAGATAATAGTATAGATTAGGTATAGTCAAAAATATGTATCTTAAGTCAAAATACCCCCGCCACAGCAAACCTGCCGACTAAGCGAATGTTCATTTGCCTGGATTGATTTTCAATTAGGCTCTTACCTGGTGACGAGTATGCTTCGATGAATGTTAAGAATCTTTTAAATTGATTGAGTCTTCCGTCGCATGCGAGATAAGGTACAATAAAGAGATACATTTTTTACCACAAGAAACATATCTGATACAGAAATTCATAGCTAGATGACTGAAGGTTATGGTCCTGATGCAATAAGTCAGAGAAAAATTGGTTAGGGAGTAAAAATGGTGGTGAAAACTATTTCAGTTTGTGTGGTCTTCTGTAAGCAGTCTGGGTACCCAACAAAAACAATTCCTTCCAAAATGGACATTTTAACGGCTGTTTTAACTCCCTGGCCCATTTCTCCACCCTACCCCATTCGATTGCATTATGGCCATAAACTTCAGTCATCTGACAATGAATGTTTGCAGCCGATATGTTTCTTGTAGGGAAAAACATATCACTGACCTTATCTTGCATGCGGCAGGAATTAATATTTTTTTTAATTTCTAGAGACACAGCAAAGTGTAAGTTACATGTCAGCTACAAAATACAAATTGCATTGTTCTGCTCACAAAGTAAAGTATGCCAGGCGAGGAGCCTCGTTGGGGCGTACACGAGAAATAAGAAGCGATAGGCACAAAAATGTGTCTTACTTGAAAAAATTACCCTCGTATTTTGATTATTAACAGTTTCCAACTATCATGAGTTTTATAAATTATTTATTGATTATTAGAAACTAGCTGTACCCGCGGGCTTTGCCCCGCTTAACTTCATAAGTATTCGCATGGCTCAATCACGTCCTGGTTGAAGTTCGTTCGCTACGCTCACTCACCTTCAGGTTGTAAATCGTTCGCTGCGCTCACTTGTTTTCGGGTTAGCTTGTTCGCTACGCTTACTCGCCTCCAGGTTGATGTTCGTTCGCTACGCTCACTCACCTTTTGGTTGCAAATTAGCTGTTGCAAAAAGTCATCCCTTTTATTGTTTATAATACAGTACTTTGATAAAGGTTTTTATGTTTTAATATTAAACATTGGAGAATTTAAACGTTGTTAAGTGCACAGGTGTGCTGCAATTGGGGTTTAATACATTTGGATTTGGACTTATTCAAAAGTAAAATAGTTTTCTGTGCTGCAATCTGTAGAAACACTGTGGCACTATTTCAAATCATGACTGATGCTAATACAGAATGTTGTAGTTATTCAAACGTACAAAACAGTTGGTGAAAGTAAACATCTGCTTTTAAATTATATTTATTTGTAAACATTGTAGATCAAAAAGTCTGACATTGGCCCACTTAAAACCCTCTGGGGCAGAGCCCTATTGACGGATCTGCACCAAACTTCACTCGAACCATCCTTGAAAGATGCTTAATAATGCCGGAAAGTTTCATTACAATCTGTCGAGCGGTTTTGGAGTCCATAACGTATATACACACACACACACATACATACATACATACATAGTTCCTCTTTTATAGACATAGATATTCTGTGGTGGATTTTATGGATGAGCTGCTAGCATCTGCATGACAATATTATTGTCCTACAAAACGTTTATGTATTTCGTAACTTTAAAATGTTTGTCAAAACTATTTAAATTTCTTGGGTTGGATACTTTGGGTTGGATTAATTAGTTTTAATTTTAAGCTATAGCTATTAAATAAAACATTGAAGTTCTGGTAGCTTCAAATTACTTTTCATATACCTACACAGAAAAGGAGACATAAAATACAGTGTGGTAGAAAAGTCCCGGAACGGTTAAATATTTTAAATAATAATGCAGATAGAGCTTAAATACTTGGTACAAAGTTACAGGGCATAAAACTCTATTTTAACACATATTCAGTGATTCAATAACTCTTCAGGGGGACGTCCCACAAGGAGTCAGAAGAAAATCTTAAATGGAAGCAGGTCAATATGCACATCAAATTGAAGGTCTTTTTTAGTAGAATACAATGCTGCAAACCGCACTTCAAAAGGTTGATCCTGCGCAAAATTACAGTTGTTCAAAGTTCATTTAATTTACATTGCTATTATACGCTTTCTCCTCAGGGGGCACAGCCCTAGGAATCGGAAGAAAATTGTTAACGTAAGAATAGGTGCACATCAAATTAAAGGTCTTCACTTTTAGATTATGATGCCGTAAATTCATGCAAGCTCAAAAGAATGCCTGAGTAAAAAATGGCAGTCGTTCAAAGATTCAAAGTGGCGGATTCAAGAAATCTTTGAACATCTGCCATTTTGCGCAGGATCAACCTTTTGAAGTGCGGTTTGCGGCATTGTATTCTACTAAAAAAGACCTTTAATTTGATGTGCATATTGACCTATGCTTCTATTTAAGATTTTTTTCCGACTCCTTGTGGGCCGTCCCCCTGAAGAATTATTGGATCACTGAATATGTGTTAAAATAGAGTTTTATGCCCTGTAACTTTGTACCAAGTATTTTAGCTCTATCTGCATTATTTTTTAAAATATTTAACCGTTCCGGGACTTTTCTACCACACTGTATAAAAGTTTGCATTAAAAATCCTTTATATATATAGAATGCATATCCCAATCATATTTCTGAATAGGATAGAAGAACAATTAAATAATGTTATTAAATTACAATGAGATCTGAGATCACATCAGGGAAGGCATGAATAACTGAAAAATTAATAACTGGCAAGATCAGATTTTTCCACCATTCAATCCGATTTAGTGATTATCAAGAAACAAGTCAACAATGATAAATTCCATGTAATTTATTTCATACATTTTCATTTGTAGAAATTACATCTCAGTTTTCTCCGAATTCCCATCTCCGTACACAGATCCAGATTGAATGTGGATTGCCACAACACCGTCTTCAGGACTGGCGTTCTCTGGTATAACTATGTTTGCTTTTCCGTCTTTTTCAACTTTTATTGTTTTGCCAGAACACCCTGTAGTTGTAAATTCTCCAGATATTATATCACAATATTCTCCCTCTGGCAGGCATGTCTGAAATATCGTTAACATAAACATACACTCTGCTTTATTTTATTAATAAAATTTTGTGGAAATGTAAAAAAATACATTTACCTACGGTTTTTTTAACTAGCCGTCCTAAATCAGTTCTCAGAATTGAAAAGATCAGTTGTTTGTATCAGTTTAATTATTGTTAATGAGTTGGTACAATGAGTCAATCAGTCGTTGCATCACTGTCAGTGGCAAAGAAAGGTTATAGTACATGAAAACATATGAGTAGTGATTTTTAGTAATTAAAAACGGTCTCAGCTTGTCATAGGAAAAGTAGTGTATGCAACTCGCACAAATAGACCTAACGCAATACCGGTAGTTGTGTAAACTACTATGTTTACATGATTTCAGATATGATTTTAAAACAAAGAGATACCCTAATTGCACATTCTTTTACTGGTCTTGACGAAACATAGAAATTGGCTTAAAGAAAACCAAAATCTGCCCACTAATAACAAAATGGCGCCCTAAATAGTTTCAAATCCAAATAACCATGAGGGTGGCCAAAAAATGAACTTGCACCCCCTTTAACTTTTAGCTATTTCAGATATTTGAAATTGGTTTGCAGCGAATTGTTTGGGTATAAAGGGCTACAATGATTATGGTCAGTTTTGAAAATTTTACCCTTAGGGGTAGCGGGGGTAGGAGGTTGTGGCTCAAAGTTTTCAAATAGCAAGTACAGTCGAGTTTTGTATCATTTTACATGTCTTGACAAAACATAACAATTAAAATAAAGAAATGAGAAATCTGATAACAAAATGGCAGCTAAAAATAATTAAGCCAACGGTTATTAAAAGTAATTTTGAACTGCCATTTCGTTATTAATGGTGCGATTCTATTTTCTTTATGTTAATTGTTATGTTTCGTCAAGACCTGCAAAATGTTATCAAACTCGTTTATACTTGCTATGTGAAAATTTTGAGCTACCCCCTACTCCCGCTACCACTAATGGCAAAATTGTCAAAACTGACCATAATTATTGTAGCCCTTCATATCCAAAACATGTTGCTGCACACCGATTTCAAATATCTCAAATAGTTAAAAGTTAAAGGGGGTGCAAGTTAATTTGTTTACATGACTTGATAATAGTGCAGTGTCATCAGCATATCAGTGTCATCATAGTGCAGTGTGATATGTGTAGCAACTAAATGTGACGTTGAGGAATATAGGGATGTCTTATTTGTATACCAAATATATCAAGGGGCCAAGAACACTCCCCTGAGGTATTCCAGAATGTATTGGCCTCAGTTCAGATAAGGAATTTTTGAAATTCGTTTGAAAAAGTTG